TTTTTTCACAGAACCAGAACAAATAATCCTAAAATTTCTATAGAACCATAAAAGGCCCTGAATTGCCAAAGCAGTCCTAAATTGGGAAAAGAACAACGCAGAAGACATAATCCCTCCAGACTTCAGACAATACTACAAAGCTACAGTAATCAAAACAGTGTAGTATGGGCACAAAAACAGACATATTTATCAGCAGACTAGAATGGAGAGCCCCCAAAAATAAACCCACACATCTACAATCAATTAGTCTTTGACAAATTGAGGCAAAAAGAGGCAAAAATATACAATGGAAAAAATTCTCTTCAGCAAGTGGGGTTGGAAAAGCTGGACAACTGCATGTAAAAATCAATGAAGTTATAACACAGCCTCTCATCATACACAAAAATAAACTCAAAATGGCCTAAAGACTTAAACATAAGATGTGACATCATAAAATTCCTAGAAGAGAACATAGGCAAAACATTTTCTGACATAAATCATACCAATGTTTTCTTAGGTCAGTCTCCCACGGCAGTAGAAAGAAAAATAAACAAATGGGACCTAATCAAATTTACAAGCTTTTGCACAGCAAAGGAAACCATAAACAAAATGAAAAGACAGCCTACAGAATGGGAGAAAATATTCGCAAATGATGTGACCAAAAGGGCTTAATTTCCAAAATATGTTAACAGCTCATGAATTCAACAAAAAAACCCAACCCAATTGAAAAGTGGGTAGAAGACCTAAATAGACATTTCTCCAAAGAAGACATACAGATGGCAAATAGGCAGATGAAAAGATGCTCAACATCACTAATAGAGAAATGCAAAGCAAAACAGCAATGAGGTATCACCTCATCACTCAGAATGGCCATCATTAAAAAGTCTAAAATAACAAATGCTACAGAGAGTGTGGAGAAAGGGAACCCTCCTACACTATTGGTGGGAATGCAAGTTGGTACAGCCACTGTAGAAAACAGTATGGAGTTTCCTTAAACTAAAAATACAATTACCATATGATCCAGCAATTCCACGCTTGGGCATATATCCAGAAAAAACTGTAATTCAAAAAGATCATGCATCCCTATGTTTGTAGCACCACTATCCACAATTGCCAAGACATGGAAAAAACCTATATGTCCATTGACAGATGAATGAATCAAGAAGATGTGGTACATATAGTGGAACCCTATATATGGAACCCTAGTACACATGTGGTACATAGTGGAACCCTAGTCAGCCATGAAGAAGAACAAAATAATGTCATTTGCAGCAACATGGATGGACCTAGAGATTATCATACTAAGTGAAGTCAAATCACAAAGAGAAAGGCAAATACTGTATGATATTACTTATATGTGGAGTCTAAAATATGACATAAATGAACCTATCTATGAAACAGAAACAGACATAGACTGCCCAGTGGAAAGGGGGGTGGGGGACAGATGGACTAGGGATTTGGGATTAGCAGATGCAAACTATTACATGTGGAATGGATAAACAACTAAGTCCTACTGTGTAGCATAAGGAACTATATGCAATATCCTATGATAAAACATAATGGAAAAGAATATAAAAAAGAATGTGTACATATGTGTGTATATGACTGAATCACTGTTCTATGCAGCAGAAATTAACACAACATTGTGAATCAACTATACTTCAATTAAAAAAAAAAAATCTCTGACATACAAATTCCTTCTAAACCCTGACCTGGTCACCTTTTCCTTGAGGAAAGGTATTAGTGCCCAGCCCAGCAGGCCAACTTGAAGGCCACCAGGAGCAAAGCAGACCTTCCCGTCACCACCTGCCCATCCCTTGTCGATGCTTCTTCCCTCAGCTCCCAATCTTGGGAGTGTGCCCTGAAACAGGGCCAAGGTGACAGGACGCAGAGGTCTCTCTGCCAGGAGGTCGGAGACTGGGAAGTTCTGAAGAGAGATTTCCTCTAATAAAATTAAAGTATTGGAATATGCCAGAAGGAAAAAAATGCTGAAAGAAACTGTCTTGCCTTAGCTACTTCAGTAGGAGGGATTCTACTAGTGTCAAGTACAACAAGGATGGGGCAGCCAGGCCCTGGAGGGTGGCCAGACTGGTTTGGGGACCAAGTGCAGCTGTTTTACATTTAAAAGGTCAGATGTTCATAGCAGTGTTTTGCGGAACTGTGGGCAAATGAATTCATAACATCCTTTTACATCCCTTATCTCCAGTCCCCTCCCTCCACTCCATTTGTCTACCATTTTTTTTTGGGGGGGGGGGTGGCTACTTATTTTCAGCACTGAGATGGAAGATAGACAAAAGAGCAGCACTTTAAGAAATGCTCCAGACCAAGAAGATGTACTCTGCATGCAGACCTTATTCCCAGGGGGTCCCTATGGGACAGACTAAAGTGAACCATAAGATGGGTCACCGAGTGTCGAAAATGCCTGTTACTTTTCTTTGACACAAGTCAGGCAGCACCTTGGGGTTCAGCACTTTGCAAAGAGCAAAGCAGATGCCTGCTGTTGAAGAATTCACGAGGAACTGGAGCCAGTGACACTGTAATTCACCAAATGCCTGTCTTGGAATCTTTTGCTCCTCTGCTCACAAGTTTCCTCACTGAAGTCATTTCCAGGGAAGCCAACAAGAAATATTGAAATATGCAGAAGATCCCAGAAAGGCTGAAGCGACTGAGTTTTCCAAGCAAACAACTGTGGGTGGACCGTTTTTCTACAATGGAGGGGGCTCCAGGGAGAAGAGTTGCACATGTGTGAAGCCAACCTTTCTACTTCACTGGGGTCACCTGGATACTCCAAATTCAATGCAAATGAACCGCAGTCAAGAAAAGAAAAAAGAAAGCAAGAACAAGGTCTTCCCTGGCTTTGGTAACAACAGCTGGCGTGATCTCCCTTAATCAGAATTGTGCATCTGAAGGCCTTGCTTGCTCAAGAGAAGCCTCAGGCAGGTAGTAGCAAGACCTGGCGGCAGCTGAGATCCCTGACTGCAGAGGGAGGAGGGTGTGTCCACGACTGGATGCCAAAGCGTCCTTCAATTTCTCACAGCTGCATATACTGATCCTGGCAAAGGTTCCCTTCATAGAATACGAAGCCCAGGTTACCTCATGCCCTAATGAAAGATGTTAGGTTTTAGGGACGAACACAAGAAGACTTCCAAGAACAGAAATAAAATGCAGTGAGAGACTCTAGAAATGCTCTTGCTTTCTCTTTTTCTTACTGTCCTACAGCAGATGAATGTGGAGATTTTGAAAAGCCACTGAGAGTCCCTCAGTCTCACTTTCGGCTCTGCAGGCCTGCATTGGACTTGGCCCCTCAACTCCTCTGGGTTGTTTTCAGTGTCCTACCAGAAAACACCACTGCTGCGGATGCCTGGCATGTGGAGAGGTGGCCCTGTCGACAGAAAAGTTTGGCTTTCATGTGGACTGTATAGGCCTTTGACAGTAAAGTTTTTGCTCCTATTAAATGTTCCTCTTGGAGAAAAACATCACATTAAAGAAACTTTTAGGTTTCTCATTGTGGCTTGTAGTTTGGAACCATAATGGGAATGGGGTGTATAAGAAAACCTGGCCTTTCCCCATCTGGTCCCACTTGCTGACAAGTATCCCCCACCCATAATCCCAACCACTCGAAAAGCCAATGGAGCAGAAGAAAACTTGTGCTAGAACATTCTGGCCTTTCAACAGGATCCTGGAAATACAATTACTTGCTGGAGAAATGTTTGAAGGGAGTGGAGAGAATGGAAGAGGCTACAAAGAGAAAGTGAGTGTTCCCTTGGCCAATAAAGGCTAAAGGGCCAACCTTTAAATAGTGGTTAGGGAACTACTGCCAGCCCTCAAACTAAATCCGGCCCTTGGCCTGTTTGTATAAATAAAGTTTTATTGGAACACAGCCATGCATATTCATTTATGTTGTTTACAATGACTTTTGCACTCTAATGGCAGAGTTGAGGATTGGTAACAGACACATGACCTGCAAAGCTTGAAACATTTACTAACGAAACTTTGTAGAAAAAAAATATGCCAAAATCTTTTTTAAAACAAACAGAATTTCCTTTAACTTTGGAAAGTGCTCAGGCAAGAGCATTCAGTTAATCTGCAACAAATGCCAGCAGACATTTAGGGGCCAGGAAGACCATCTCAGAGGCCTAAAGAGTCAGTGTTCTGCATTTCTTTTATAGGATAAAGAACAACAGGTGGCCTTTAACTTTTCTGTGGCATCCTTTTAATATTACGCAAATCTTAAGTGTTACACTGCTTCATGCCAATAGATTCTAGGCAGCTCATTACTCTGTTTACATGTGGGCAGTGAGAGCTATGACCATCTCATCATGACATCTAAGTGGTGCCCCTCACTGAAGTTCTTAGGGTAGTAAGATATTAAAGAACAGCTGTATATTTTTAATTAATTTTTTTTTATCTACACCCAGGAGTGGAATTGCTAGGTCTTATGGTAATTCTATTTNTCCTCCCTCCATGGGAGTTTCCAGGCAAGAGTACTGGAGTGGGGTGCCACTGCCTTCTCCAACATGGAATACTACTCAGGCATAAAAACAATTTTTGTCATTTGCAGCAACATGGATGAACTTGGAGAGCATTATACTAAGTGAAATAAGTCAGAGAAAGACAAACACTGTATATCTTACATGTGGAATCTAAAACTATAATAAACTAGTGAATATACCAAAAAAGTAGCAGATAGATATAGAGAACAAATTAGTGGATGGGGTTGGGAGTGGTAATATATAGGTGGGGGAGTGGGAGGTACAAATTATTAGGTATAAGATAGGCTCATGGATGTATTGTACCACACAGGGAATATAGCCCATATTTTGTAAAAACTGTTAATGGAAAGTAATCTTTAAAAATTGTATAAAAAAATCATGATTTTATAATATTTGTACATGCACAACCTTCAACTTCGTAAAAAGTAAAAAAAAAAAAACAAAAATGAAGAACTGCTGATTCTTCATTCTTTTTCCAGCTTAAAGAGTAGCTGAGTGCACACTGGTGGTCAGGGGCCATGACCGTACCTGTTGGCCAAAAGCTGGGACCTGGTTCCTGAGGGCGAGGTCAGGTAGATGGCCAGGTCTCCCCTCCTGGGGTGGGTGATGGTGATGCGCACGACCACGTGCTCTAGGTAGCTGACGTGATGGTTGGGGTTGTCGGAGCAGCCCGAAGCTTTGTAGATGGAGCGCACTGCACTGTTGGGGCGGATCGTCCTGCAACAGAGAGGAGAAGTTTGAGCAAAGTGCCCAGCAGAGCTCGACTGAGTGAACCTGCAGGCCTGGCAGGGCTACATGTGTAAGATAAGCGTGGATGCTTAAAGGACCAGTCCCTCAGGCAAATGATTAGGTTGCTTACAGCAGTAATCCTGCTTGGACTGGGAGAAAGATGTAAATGAGAGGAATGGGGGATTTAAGGTGTCTTTGATCTTCATGAAGGTAGTGGATATCGATCCTGTTAAAACACATCACTAGGCTCTGGAACTGGAGTTCCTGGGGTGGGTCACGAATGAGCATTTCCAGCAAGTTCTCCAGTGACAGTGATGCTGCTGAACTATGGAATCTGCTTTGGGTACCACCAGTAAAGGGGGCTTGGGGACTAGTATAACCTTAGTTCAAATCCCTGGTCTACCATTCTCTTGCTCTATAAACTAAGAGGAGCCCACTCTTCCTTTTGCCTACAAGGTCCTGTCTTCTCCCCAGACTTCCTCCTGTACCTCTGTGCCTTCTGAAGACTGGGTTCCAGCCCCAGCAGCACTGCTTTGAGTTCGGGGATAATTCAAGTTTCCCAGCTCAGGGACATTGCATGTGCTACTCTGCCTCTAGTGCTTTTTTATTGCTCTTCCTGTGGCTGACTCATCTTCTTTCATGATCAAAGCTTAAATTTCACTCTCTAAGGCCATCATTGAACCATAGGAAAACCATGTTCTCTGTCTTTCATTTTCTACCCTTTTTATTTCACTTATTATAACTTGTAATTATCTATTTATTGTATTATTTTGGTTTGACTTCCCCAATAGACTGTAAGCTCCATAAATGTGGAAGCATTTCTTATTCCTGTTTCTATCCCTAATATCTAGCCCCATTCTTTTTTAAAATTTATATTGTATCAAAGGATAATTGCTTTAAAGAACTTTGCTGTTTTCTGTCAAACCTCAACATGAATCAACCACAGGTATACATCTATCCCCTCCCTTTTGAAACTCCCTCCCATCTCCCTCACCATCCCACCCCTCTAGGTTGATACAGGGTCTGTGTTTGAGTTTCCTAAGCCATACAGCAAATTCCCGTTGGCTGTCTATTTTACATATGGTAATGTAAGTTTACATGTTACTCTTTCCATACATCTCACCCTCTCCTCCCCTCTTCCCATGTCCATATGTCTATTCTCTATGTCTGCTTCTCCAATGTTTCCCTGTAAATAAATTCGCCAGTAACATTTTTCTAGATTCTGTATATATGCATTAGAATGAAGTATTTATCTTTCTCTTTCTGACTCACTTCACTGTGTATAATAGGTTCTAGGTTTATCCACCTCATTAGAACTGACTCAAATGCATTCCCTTTTATGGCCGAGTAATATTCCATTGTGTATATGTACCAAAACTTCTTTATCCATTCATCTGTCAATGGACATCTAGGTTGCTTCCATGTTCTAGCTATTGTAAATAACTCTGCAA